CGCAAGCGACGCTGATGGGTGCGATCCCACCGCACGCGCCACGGCCAGGGCAAACCCATCGCAACCCTCCAGGGGCTCAGGCCCAGCCACCACAAGGGAGCAGCCCTGGTCCCTGGGGTACCCGCAGGGCCCACCCCAAGAGCATCTCCCGGGGGTGGGACGTGGGGCAACACGGTGGCCCCCCGGGGCGGGGGGGAGCAGGGAGGGAGAAGCTGCATTCCCCATCAGCCCCTGCCCTGGAAGAAGCTTTGACGAAAGAGAGAAAAGGAGGAAGAATTTGGGAGGGGAAAAAACCCCCCCGACCATCCCCTCGACCCAAATGAAGCACCTCCCCGGGGCTGAGCTGCTGCAAGTTTCTGTGTGAGAAACATTTTGGGGTGCCCTGTTGCGGCTATGGGGTGGTGATGCATCGGAGGAGCCGAAAGCAGAGACGCAGAGGGCTGGGATGGGAGGGACGAGGCCATACTCACCCCCAGGACGGTGAAGAGCCACCAGCGCATCCCGCTCCTCTTCATTGCCGGGGGAGACCTGCCCGAGGGGGAGCACTGGGGTCACCACCCAGGGAAAATCCCAGCGGAAAAGCGATTTGGGGGGCCCTGTTCCCCCCCCTTGGGATGCTCCCCCCTCACCCACCCCGCCCCCCCAAAGTTTTATTAGAGGTCTTATGGGATGGCCGGCATCACCCCTTTCCCTTGCAGATCCCGACTCCATCCCAAATCGGAGAGGGACCAACCCTGCAACGGAGTCAGGACCAACCGTGCAAGGAGCAGAGGAAGGAGCAGATGATGCTAAACACCGTTAAATAAAGGTTCTTCCTGCTCCAGAGGAAATCCATACACATCTGCCACAGGGAAATGAAGTCACTAAAGAAAATAAATATATTTAAATAAAACCAAGCGAAACAAGAGGTGTTTCCCACAGGCTCATCCCCCCTCTTTGGGCATGGCAATTAATTGTGAAAAATAAAATCACTGCTGACAGCACAGGGGAAGGGAAGAACAAAATAAATAATAACCCAAACCCGGATCCAGCCGCTGCGGCTCGCATGGAAATTCCCCCGGTCGTCACGGTCCCGTGAGAGCCGCGCCGGAGCTCCGTTACAGCTCTCGCCGGACGAATTTCTCCTAATTAGTGGCCAGCATCATCGATCTGAGATGCAGCTAATTACATGCAGGAAGGGAGACGCTGGGGGGCGAGCAGGGCAGAGCCGGGTAATTACAGGACATGGGCTGGGACATGATGGCACTGCCCCAAACGAGCATCCCCCGTGCTCCAGTTCCTCCCGGTAGCTCCCAGTTGGGGAACACCCCCATCAGGGCGCCAGCGTGAAGCCAGCCAGCCCTTCTCCCCTCCTGGGGAGCTGCACCCCCAAACCAAGAGCCACCAAACCCCACCTTCACTAGCACCGCCCGTGCCGAGCTGGGACCCCATGGTTTTTTAGGGGGGGGGGGGGGGGGGGGGGCAGGCCGCCGCCCCCCGCGCCG